AGGCAGCCTGGGAGAACTCAGACGTCTGGTTTCAAGTAACAGGCAAAGCCCTGTGGTTTTAAACCACTACTCCAGAAAAATTAGAAGAAATAAAAAATGATCAGCCCTGCTCCATCAGTGCAGGGTGCATATCCCTGTGTTTTTGTGCAGACTGACCGCTGCTGGGCGCACAGATCAACAGAAGTCCCACAGGATGAGCTTGTAGGTTCCAGGTGAAGGGTGACATAAGAAGGGCTTCGGTAGCACGTTGTGATGTCACTACGGTGACATCTGAACTTAATCAGATACACAAAAACTCTGTGGATCTAAAAAAAAAATTCGAATTGGAGCAAGACACAAAGGGTAGGAAAGAGAGACAAGGACAGGACCCCCCGTAGGACAGAGCCACATGGACAGGAGGGAGATAAAGCCCTGGGCCCGGAGTCCCAAATCCCCTGCCCCTCAGCTTTTCCGAACAGGGAGCCAATAACAGTACTGACTTCATGAATTAAATTAGCTGATCTGTGTGAAGCTGGCACCTTGTAAGGGTACCAGTGTAGCCTGCTCGTTTTCATTAAAGTATAGTTGATTTGCAATGTTGTTAGTTTCTGATGTACAGCATAGTGGCTCAGTTATATATACATATATATGTGTAATTTATCTGTATACTTTATATATACACACACACACACACACACATATATTCTTTTTCATATTCTTTTCCATTATAGGTTGTTATAAGACACTGAATAGCTTTCCCTGTGCTCTACAGTGGGATCTGGTTGTTGATCTATTTTTTATATATAGTAGTTTGTATCTGCAAATCCCAAACTCCTGCTTTATCCCTTCCCACCCCCTTTCCCTCCTGATAACCATGAGTTTGTTTTCTGTCTGTGAGTCTTTCTGTTTTGTAAATAAGTTCATTTGTATCATGTTTTCAGAGTCCACATGTAAGTGATAAATCATATGATATTTGTCTTTCTCTGGCTTACTTAAAATGATAATCTCCAGGTCCATCCATGTTGCAACAAATGGCATTATTTTATTCTTTTTTATGGCTGAGTAGTATTCCATTGCCTATCTATCTATATATACACACACATACGTGTATACATACATGCACACACACCCCCCACATTTTCTTTATATAGTCATCTGTCGGTGGGCATTTAGGTGCCTCCATGCCTTGGCTAATCTGTTTTTATTGCTGTGTTACTTTAGGGGAGAACGCCCACTCTCTTGATTTAAAATACGGCTTTAAAAGGTTAGAATTTACTTCAATGTTTCCATTCCCACCAAAAATTTGGATGCTCAAAGGATTGTGAAAATCTTATTTTCATTGTTCATGTTTAGTGCTCTTTGAGATACAAATGTCAGACTTGAAACTAGACTTAAGGCTGGAGGAAACAACACAGATTTTCCTCTAAAACAGGAGTGGCAGGAAGGTGAGGGCACGGCAACAGCTGGGAACAGACCCCAGGTGCCATCAGCAGCCCCCTCCCCTCTCCCAGCTTCCTGCTCAAGACCCCTTCCTTCCTCTTCCACAGTTTTCTCCCTGCGGCCACATGGTGAACGTGGTGAGGGCTGGGCTCACGCCACCCTCGTTCTCTGACAGGCGAGGACAGAGAGCTTGTCACCTGTCAGGTGGAGCCAGCCGGGGCAAGGGTCCGCTTTGGCCTGACTGAGCCCATCACGTGCCCATCCTGGTCCCCTGAGGCCAGGGAGATGGATGCTGCGAGGGTGCCCAGATCCCCACCTCAGCGGCCAGGGCGGAAGGTGAGGTGACAGGAGCCTGGTGGAAGCAACTCCCCAACCTGAGCAAATAGTTCCCAAAGAAAGGAAGTCTCTGCAATGGCTTTCTGTTCAGGAAGGAAGGGAACTTGGAAGCTGCCGAGGCCAGCAGGAAGATGGGGCAGAAGCGAGGGGGTGCACAGACAGCCTTGGCTCACTTTGTGCAGGAGTGGCTGTCAATAGATTCGTTCCAGGCGGAGGTGCCCTGCACTCCTGGGCAGCTGGTGCCCCCTTGGAGTGTTGGTGCAGAGGGATGTTAAAGGGTGTTTTGTCACCTGGGACACACGATGGGACGCCGGAACTCGCTCTGCATCCTGTCAGCCCGGAGCTTGTCTCTGGCTTCTGGACTCTGGTCCTCCCTCCTCTCCTGACTTCAGCTCTGTCATTGGGATGCTGGTGCCCTCAAGGGCAAATTTTAAAAATGAAGAATCACAGGGTGCTCTTTCTGCCTGCCTCCTCTGAGACCAGAGAGGAGCAGTCCCTCTTGTGGGCTGCACCCATTTCTGCAGGCTGCATGTCTTCCTTTCCATACCTTCGCCTGGAGAATGCAGCGTGTCCCAGACTTCTCCGTGTTATAAATCTCATTTAAAAAGTGTTGAATCGAGGGAGTCTGCCAGGGACTTTGTTTTCTCGACTTCTCTCTCGTGCAGAGGGGAGTAGCATTACCTTACCGTGTAAAACATGGTGAAAGGCTTTAAAAGAATTCCCCAGCAACAGAATAATGGGCTGCCAAAAACGTTCCTGGTGCCAAAGGATCTGGGTATGTCTGTTCCAATTATTGTGTGTTTCTCGTTCCATCGTGGCTAAGTGCTCACAAAAGACGTAAAAACCCAAAGCTCTGGGGTATGTTGTATTCGAGGGCAGAAGCCAAATTTTAACATATCCAGCCCCACACCTAACGTATGGGGATGGTTACCAGAGGCCCCGCAGCAGACGGGGTTGAGGGCCTGCGGCAAGTCAGGTGCACAGGGTCCCGGGAAGCTGCTGCCTGGTGGCTGGAGGGACGTCGCGTTCCACGGTCTCTGCTGTGCGGAAGGATGTTTATTTTAAGGAGCACAGGAAGTCTCGCTACCCCCCCCCCAAAAAAACTTTTAGCTTATCCTGCCTTGTTGAATAAGTTTATTTTGCTCAGAAATAGGAAGACGGAACCTATTTCTTAATTAAAGTTCCCTGTTTTAAAAGCCGGATGGTGCTGAATAGCCAAGTTGTTTATTTTTAGACTTTTCATTTTACCTTGATAATAAATTGAGTCTGTTCAAAAGAGGGTTTTTGTCCAGAGTTTATTTTGAAAATCAGTTTAGGAATATGCTGAAAAGATCTGGGGGGAAATGGAAATGGGGGGGAACCCCTTGAAAGGTGTTTTGTTTCTCAGTGAAAGCAAGAAAAGTCCAGAAAGACAGCATCTAACCCCTGCCCCTCCCTGGGCCCGCCCCGGACCCTCCCGGCCGGGGTCCGAGTGAGACGATCTGGTTCCCACTTGGCACGGGGCGCTTAATCTCTCCCACTTCTTAGTCCGGGCCAGGCCGTTACCACTGTCCTGAATTCAGTGTGGCTTCTGACTCGGGTTGTACATTCTTAATCGCCTCTGTCTCGGGTGCAGGATGACTGTCTTCCAAGAACTCCTGAGATACGGATTCTCAGTTGTTCGCCTGTGACTCGCAGGACAGACGACATTCACACGGGCTCACTCCGCTGGGCCAGGGGCCAGGGGAAATTCCTGGGCTGGTTAACTAAAATTCCACGCCTTTTACTCCTGCACAGCAAAGCAGATTGGAATTCAGCCGGATGACAGTAACGTCAACCAAGGAGATAAACCTGAATCTGCTTTATTTACACTTGCGTGTGGATGAGTATGTGTAATTCATCCGAAATTTAGTCCTTTATTGTTTATAACAACGGTTTAAAACGCTCCATCCTAACAGAGCAGTATGAACCCAAATCCCTGAGTGAGACGCCGCCATTCCCGCTCTCTTGCGACTAGCCTCGTCCTCGTCCTCAGGGAGGGCCCGGGCACCACGCTGTGTGGCCACCTGCCGTTCCTGAAAGCCTGTCTGAAGCCTGGGAAGCCCTGAATGGCCACCTGAGAATAAAGCATTCTGGGCAGGGTTCTCAACAAAGAAACCTAACGCCACCCTGGTTTGTTGCGACATGAGGGAGAGGCAGGGGCGCTTTTTTAGCTGAATCCCCGCTTCCTGTTTGCAGGAGTGAATTGTGCAGAAAGGTGGTAATTGCCTCCCGTGATTATTAAGCCCCTAGTGGACGACACCGCTCGAGGATGTAGGCCCGGGGTGGGGGGCAGGCGGTGGTGTTTACTTGCAACAGTTACTGAAATGTAGATACTGTCGCCACTGCCTGAGCATCGGGGAAAAGGTAAAAGTGGGGGTTGGCATGAACCCTTAGCTCTTATAAGCGTAGATTTTTTATTAAAATGGTCTTTGATTTAAAACGCCAGCACATTTCTTTATGTAAAGTGGTCAGAAGTCATTATGCTTATATTGTGAGGAAGAATTATTTTATGGAAAAAGTGTAGAGAATCTTTTTTATACCCAGCTGTGCTTCTGTGGAGTTGGAGACACTGTTCATCAAGTCACATCACTGGGAACAGCATTTTTGTATCAGGAGACTTGTGATCAAAATACTTAGCTTAAAAAAGAAGTGTTAACCCTGCGCTTCAGCGCTGGGGAGGTAAAGCCTTGGTGTAGAACGAGTCAGGGGTCCGGGTGTCCACTGGCTTTCCAAGGGACCCATGACGTTGAAAGCTGGGCTGTAGGGAGTGCAGCCTACAGTATGCTGTTCCATTATTTTTTAATTGAAGTATCGTCAAATGACTGGATAAGGAAGCTGTGGTGTATTTTACACAATGGAATACTAGTCGGCCATCAAAAAGAGTAAAATAATGCCCTTTGTAGCAGCATTGATGTTCATTATATAACAGGAGAGTTTTCCTCATACTTTTCTGCCTGGGACACGTGTGGAATTCAGAGAATGATTTCGTGGCCGCTGCATCAGCAGAGGAGGGGGTGGGCGCTGTCGTGTTGCTAGGGGGGCACACTTCCCTGCGCTGTTCTCCGAAGGATCATTTGAGGGTGGAGGCGGGGAGGGACGCATTTAAGGGAAAACAGCCATCCCACTTAAATATCCAACCAAGTCTCTGCCAGGTGATGCAAAAACAGGACAGCACTCTGGGAATCCTTGACCTGCACTCACAGTGTCCCTTCCTTTGGTTACAGGCTCAACCTGGGAAAAGACGTTCCGACAGATCGGCTTTGAAAGGTAAGCAGGACTTCGCAGGAACCCACGTTTAGTTACTCAGGACCTGGTTTGCTGCCGGCAGCTCACCGACTGGGAACTGGTGGTCTCGCCGCTGCTGCTCCTGTGACCGTGCCTGCGAGCGCATCATCACTTCTGAGTCTCAGTTTCCTTGTGAGGTCGACCTTCGCTTTGTAACATCCTTGCCTGAGCACGGAGTGGAGGGGGGATTAAGTGGAGCAGTCTGTGAAGATGCTCCTTAAACTGTGAAGCAGCAGGGAAGGGAAGGAGCCGGGTTAGAGCATTACAGGAGATGGTGTCTGTTCCCATTCGCATTCAGCTCTGTCCATTAAGTACAGAGGAGTGTGTATTTATATTCACGTCTTCCGAAGGACTGCGTTTTTTAGTGGAGGGACTGGGGACTGAACCCAGGACCTTGTGCTGCTGAGCGTGAGCTCTGCCCTCCCCCCTCCAGTTATTAAAACCGTTCGATCTTCTTAGCTCTAAATGAAAGGCTGACATCATGTCACTCTGAGCTAAAAGCATTTCTACACCAGCATCTCCGCAAAAGGAAAAAAAACTGACTCACAATAACATCAGAAAACGTGGAGGTCGGGTCGTACAGACCTGACGGCGGCTCACGGCGGCTTGGGTGACCTCGGCGTCGACACGGCTATTGAAAGGGAGAAAAGTCGTTTTAATGTTTGTGCTCTGTCTGTGATTTTGACTAGTTCTCTTCACGGTGTTGAAGATGTGTTTTTATGCACATATATCGGGCTGACAGAGCTTAGACCACAAAAAAGAAAGAACAAAATACCTTAAAATGAATCATTTCTGCGGTAGCAAGCGCGAACAGCCGGCTCATCCCCGGGCGGCCGGTGATGGCATTTCCGGAACCATTTTAACTGGTTCTCAGCTTGTGCCTTTCCCTGCGCACACCTCCTCACGTGGGCCCCGTCCCCGTGGTCACCTGGGCAGGTCGCGGCGTCTTTTCGGTTGTCAGAGGAGGGTGCCTTGGGGTGGGCGGCTCTCACAGACCAGCGTAAAACCAAGGATGAAGGTCACATGCAGCTTCATTCTGTGTGAAATCTTTTTTCCAGAGGATCTTTCTCTTGATTTGTCTTTTGTGTTATGAAAAAGTCAAACAAAGGGGAGAAACAGCTAATCAGACATCACGTGCCCACAGCCCAGCATTAGTGAGACTTTGCCACACTTGCTTTGTCCACTTTTAGGGGGGAGGCTGAAATATTTTAAAGAAAATCTCATATATCGTGTCATTTCATCCCTGTGTAAGTCAGTATAGGTCTCTGAGAAAATGGGTGCTTTCTTCCCGAATCATAAGCCACACTCACCCCCAGTACGAACACCTGTGCGTCCTCAGCACCACTTAATACCCAGTCGGTGCTTCCACGTCCTGATCATCTCAGAGGTGTCACCTTCCAGATGCCAGGTTGAGTCAGCAGACTCCTAAATCCCACACATCCCAGTGTAGTTGTTTTTGGTACATTTTGTTTTCTGAGTCGTGATGAACATACTGTGCTCTGTGAGTCTCAGCTGTGCAGCGTGGTGACGGGATATCTGCGTGCATCTTGAAACAGTCACCACGGTGAGACCGGTTCCCCGCTGTCACCGCACGTTCCGTTCTGTTGTCTCACCGCAAGCGTCTGTACGGGGGTCGGGTCCCCCAGTCCCCTCCCAGCTCCGTCAGACTCTGACTTCTGAGGAAACCAGCTCAGGAGGCTTGCAGACGGCCCCGCGCCTGGGCTAGTCTGTCTGTGGCATCGTTCACCTTGACATTCTGCGCCGTGTCACGTAAACGTGATCGCTCCCTTTCCGCCCCTGAGGCCCGCCGCGTGTGGGCGCCTTGCCCCTTGATGCAGGCCCCCTGGTGCTTGCTCGTTTCCGTGCTCCCATGGAGGCTGGAAGTGCCAAGCCCATCCAGCATCCGGGACCAGCCAGCCCACGGGAGGTCGTGTAGGCCGTTTCCTGTCTTTGGCTCTTACAAAATAGGTCATGTGGAACAGCTTTGGGCAACTTGTGTGTTTGCCAGGTATCCTGGCGAGAGAGTCCCAAGTACTATCGAAGAGCGGGTTTTTATGGAATTTTTCTAAACGTGGCCAAGTTTCTCTCCCTAAAGTTCTGGCAGTTTGCACTTCCCCCAGCAACGGATGAGAGTAATTATTTCCCAGAGCCTCGCCACCGGAACATGCTGGCAAACTTGAGAATTTTTTTGCCAGCCCAATAGGTGAGAAATGCTATCTTAATGTCCTTTTAATCTGCGTTTAGACTGAGTCTTTTTCCCTAAAGGACAGGCTCAGATTCTCTGCTGTCTCCTGAGTGGCGCCCTCTGGGCGAGAGCTGCTTCTAAGATGGTTAAGGATTCGTCAGTCCACAGGGTTTGGCAACTGAAACGTTTCCTTCCTACTTTACGTGACCTTTGCCTTTTGCTAACTTGAGCAATGGTTTAATGAGAACAGCGCCTGGGCACTGAGCACTGTGGCGTGTCCATCACTTACAGGCCACATACCGGGGACCGGCAGACTTTTACCATCGAGGGCAGAGCGCCCACCTCCGTGTCCGCCGGCCCTGCGGGTCCTTTGCAGCGGCCACAGCAGCGAGCACGGCTGAGTTCCAGTAAAACTTTATTGACAAAGACAAGAAGCTGCTGCCCGTCGTTTGTGACCCTCACGGTGGGCTGTGGTCCCCATGTCACAGGTCCGGGAGCCCGAGGAGAATCGGGTAGCCACCCAGGAGGTCGTGGCCACCCGGGGGTACTGGGGTACTGAGCTGCACTTGAGCGAAGCTGTGCCTGGCTCCAGAGACTAAGGTTTCCGCAGCAAGCCACTCTGAGTCCCCGAGTGACAGGCATCCCTGTGCTAGGTCCCCCCCCCCCCGTGGCTCCTGGGGACACCGTCCTAAGTCGTAAGTCTCACCGGCTGTTCTCATTTTGTGAACATTTTGAAGAAACCAGACAGGAGGATTTCCATAGTGCCTCTTAAACGGGCATGCTTCCAAAGAGATGTGCAAATAAAAACACTGTTAAGAAACATGTCAGGTGATAGGCTGTATTTTTGAACTGTAGTCTTAGTTTTGTGACCATTCCTATTTTATTCTTTTTTCTTTTTTTTAATTTTATTTTTTATGGAAGTATAATCAGTTTGCAATGTTGTGTTAATTTCTGGTGCATATCACTTATATGTGGGATCTAAAAAATGACACAAATGAACTTATTTACGAAACAGAAACAGACTCATAGACATAGAAAGCAAATTTACGGTGACCCGGGGGAAAGGAGGGGGTGAGGAATACATTGGGAGTTGGGGTTTGCGTCCATACTTCTAGGTGTGATCTGCAACTGTCATCTGAGTTCCCCGGGTTGTCCCCTATTTTCTTGTTTACAAGCAGGGAGCTGTTGCTGCCAGATGCCCAGTGAGTTGAGATGCAGAGCGGACACTGGTTTGGGGGCTGTCGTGCGTTTCCGGTGGCAAAGGCCGCACCCGGCCGTGCTGTTGCGTGCGGCTTCTCTGCTTCTCCAGGTTCCCCTCGCCTTTCTCTTAAAGGAAATTCCGGTTGTATCTTAAAAGGCAGCTCTCCGGTTCTTTAAAGCCACTCTGCGATATTGATCCTCTCAGCTCTAGGCCCTTTCAAGTTTGCCCATCAATCTGTTTGCTAGCAGAGTATTTCAAAAAGTGGTCATGTCGTAAAAAAAATAATAAAAGAGGGACTGAGTCAGCTGAACCTCAGCACTTTCCCCCAGAAAGGAAAGCGAAGGCGTCCTCTGCTGTGCGTTTTGTGATTGAAGGGGAGCCCCAGGCGTCCGGCCGGCCTGCCCTGGGGCAGCGACACTTGCCATGGGGTGGTGGTTGGCCATTTCCTTCCTGGAAACTGTCATTATTTTCACGGCCTCAGGATAAGTACACCTGGTCACAGTGTGGATGGCTGGATTCATGATAAAAGGTTATGTTCACCTTGCAGACAGCTGCCCCCGTGGGTGACATCGGGAGTTTAATTTAGGACTTCGCAGAGGATAGAGGAAGGATGTGGATTCCTGTAGCTTTGGTGTCCCCGACAACACCCCTTCCACTCCTGGTGCTGCCGTGTGGCTCCCTGCATCACAGCACGAGACTTTTGTTGCCGTTTGGTTTGGTTTGGTTTGGTTTTTACTGTGGAGGAGAGGATGTGTGCCTCGCTGTTCTATCGCCATCAGAAAGCTCACCTTTCCACGCAGGTTTTCTAAGCCTGGGATCGTAAGCATTTTGGGGTCACCCCAATTCTCGGGGGCTCCTTACAGCAGTGCTGCCTTCCCGCTGGTGCGACGTCTGATGAGGAGGCCAGACAGCTTCGGAGCAGTTGGCCTCTCTGCACCGGGTGTCCCTGGTTTCAATCCATGACACCTCTGTCTTGGCATGGCATTTCTCAGTTTGCTTAAGCAGGGAGGCGGAGCTTGGGAAACTGCACACTGGCGCTGACGTGCGTCCACGCAGAGGTGGCCTCTGTCACTGCAACTCACGGTGGACAGCCCCAGGCGAGTCACCTCGCTGATTTAGGGGAAGGAGAGTGTCCCTCCGCCGTGTATGCAGGAGGGGCCGAGAGGTGGGGCTGCTGGAAAGCTCCGGGATGTGTCCCACACAGCGCGCTCGGGGCAGGTCTGCCCAGGGGCTTCTCTCTCCTGAACGCCACTTTGCATTGCAGGAAAATATGTCAGCAAGTAAGCCGGCTCCTGCCCAGTGACCCGCCAACAGAAGGCGAGCTCCTGTGTGCTGGGGCGACGTGCTGCTGCCTCCGTGAAAGCGAGCAGCCTTCTGCTGACCGCGCGCCCCTTTCCACTTAGAACACGCAGAGGCCGTTCTTAGTCTCCATCGTCAGCGCAGTCCCTCTGATTGCATTACTAGTAATGAAATTGTACACGGTTTTATTTCATGCTCTACTTGGATAGTGGAGTGACATCTCTCGCTCCTTCGAAGAATGTTTTAAAATATGAATCACTCTGAAAGCAGCCGGCGACGATGAAACTCATTCGGAGG